CGAAAGGTGCAAAAGTGTAGTATGAGTACAACCGACCGCTTGTACTCAATAAGTATCCTAACTAACCTCACGAGGTACAAGAAGCAAGAACTATCAATGATACTCACCAACGCCTGTACAGTTTAAAATTTCAACAAGTATAGAATAGATATATGATCAATCAGGAAAATATCAGGTAAAACTACTTTGAGGCTTGAAATTCTTTGTTTAAGATATTTTGCTCAGTTAATAATCTAGCATATAAGGAAGTTATGAAAGTAAATTGGGTAAATAGTCAAGGAAATTGCAAGTAAAGATGAAATGCAACAACCAAATATCAGTACATTGCGGCACGCAACCGATCCAAATATAGTAACCAGCTCTCCTAGAGCTCACATCAACCAGAAACCCATCGGTTTCTCACAATTCGTGTGTACACCATCAAGAGAGAAACATGAGAGAGTGACCCCAGGGGGATGGGTCCATATCCACATGCAAGCACGGCCAATTCAACGTGCTACCAGACCGGCGTAGTCACAGGCTCAATATCAACTGCACAGACAACTCACGTGCTACACGAAAAACTCATGTGCCATAATATTAGTATATAGATCCGGACGGACAACTCACGTGTCGATATTCATAACCGCCCTATGTGGTCACATGCATAAAATACAATTCGCCCGGCGTGGTCACAAGCATAAAAAAGTACAATTCGACCAGCGTGGTCATAAGCATAACAACACAATCCGCCCGGCGTGATCACAAACATAACAACACAATCCGCCCGACATGATCACAGGCATAATATACAAGAACACATGTATATGATGAAAATTATCATATTTCATACTTCTGGGCTATTATAATAACATGCTAAAGTGTAGGTATGTGCAAAGTGTGCTATCATAGCTCAAATCAGCAATTTTACCACAGAATAGCACTTATCAAGTTCATTCAGGGATTAAACCTCTATGTAGCTTCAAACATGGCTCAAATAGTTCACAACAATGTTACAAATATGAGAAACATTATAGCTTAAAGCTTAACAGTCAATTCTAGACTTATCATAGCCTAAACACAACCCGAGCATGGATAAATACCCCCCAGTGTCAGCTGTCAGCACATGGGTTTAAACCCCACACATGCGCGCACCCATTGTATGTAGCTATCACAATAATTCAGGCAACTAGTGCCACCAAGTTTAAATAAGATACTTACATCAAACAAGCTAAAAGCAATACCGAGCAAGCCAAACAATACTCTAAAAATATCATCTCGCACGTACCGACCTCCGAACGACTTGAAACTAGTCAAAAGCAACTCAAGAAGATCAAATAATGCCAAAAGAAATAAACTCAGTCGATAAAGGTCGAATCTTTAATCAAAAGTCCAAAGTCAACCAAAAAGTCAACAAAAGTCAATGTCGGGCCCGCCTTGGATTCCGAATCAAAGCTTAACCGAGCAAAGTCCGAACCAATACAAGCTCACATGAACAAAAATCAACTCAATCGGAATCCGATAGCTCAACCAATTCGCCAAATCTCGCTCTTGGGTGTTCATAACCCAAGAGTCCAACCCACACTAGTTGGGTCCCATATCTCCCGAAATACTCCTCCAATACTCGCTAGATTCGAGTATGTTGTTCTCCTAATATAGAAGAACAAAACCCAAAAGGAATCTAGAAATAAACGCCTCTAACTCATTTTCAATTTTTAAAATTTAGGACATAACCCTAGGTCTTGATTTAAAGAATTAAATGGGTTTTAAATTAATACTATGGATTAAAGCTTAAACCAAGGGAATGAATCAAAGGGAAATACTTAGGTTATGGTTTAGACCTTACCCCATGGAATAAACTTTAAGAATACCCTTGAATCTCCCAATCCCAAACTTTCAAGATGAGAAAAACTCCAACAACATTAATAGCCAAAAGTGCCCAATGGATTCCTCGTAAAATTCTAATCAAGTTGGGCTTTTGAATCACTCCATTTGAGTTTATAACGAAGGAGATATGTTGGTTTCAATATTTGAAAATAGTGCAAATCTTTAAATACTAATTCAGTAGCAATTTCGTAATTAATCTGAAAAATCTGGCAATTCAATTCTTAGTAAAATAATCATAAAATTTCTCATACGATGTCGAAACTTGATGATTTCAGTTGCTATAGTTTCAAAATTACGATACTGATATAATGGTTTAGTCGTCGTTTACTCAATATGGTAACCTTTATGCTCAAATCGACGTCGAAACCGAAAACAATCACCATGCAACCTAAACTTATCCAAAACTCATCGGAATTTAATCAAACCTGTGGACATGTCTAAAATCATCATAAAAATATTATTGGAATAATTAAAACCCGATTCCGGGTCCGTTTACCCAAAATTCAAACCTTGGTCAACTCTTCCAACTTAAAGCTTCTAAAATAAGAATCATTCTTCCAAATCTATCCTGAACGCTCGAAAACCAAAATCAACCATGCACGCAAGTCATAATACATAATATGAAACTGCTCAAAGTCTCAAACCACTGAATTAAATGATAAAGCTCGAAACGATCGGACGTTAAAATTGCTATTCTTTCTTTCCTCATGAGCAAGAAGCTCACCAGCAACATGACGTGTTACTTTGTATTGTGTTTGGACCTTTAAATTATTCTTATAATTGTTAGGTCTTTGTCTTGTTGTTTTACTATATTTGATTTTTCAATCTCTTGAAGGAAGGATAATATATTTATCATAATTAATTTTACTGTTTATGAAAAAAATAGAATTCATCCATATTTGGCTAGTCGTTTTTCATGGAGGAAAAGATTTTGTACTTCTATAAATTTAGGATCCTTCCTTCTCATTTTGTAACATCCATAATGTAGTCATAAGGGGTTTGACAATCTTGTTTAGAGGGAAAAATTTTAGACAAGTATTATCCTGTCACTTGTGTGCGCCTCTTTGTGAGGTTGTTCTCTCAATATCTTGTACTGTCTTTTATATAGTGGATTGATCATCCCTATTTGTGGATGTAGGTCAATTAACTGAACCACATTAAATAATTGTATCTCTTTCTATATGTTTCTATTTTGTTGTCTTATTTATCGTCGTTGAAAGTATGCGTTATTAGTTTTCACATGACACCTGATTATCTCGACATACCAGTGGTATCAGAGTGAGGTTTAAGACAGCTTCATCAAGGCGGGTTTAGTTTTAGCCACTACAGTTTTTACAGTAATCATGATTTGTTTGAGAAATTTGACCGAAGTGCTACTCACGTTGAAACAAATTTTGTAGTAGAGACTTGGAGAGACGACATGTTGAATGCTATATGAAAAAGGTAGATCAAGTTTATTTTGTCGAAAAATACAGACCAATGGGGAGAATTGTTAGGTATTTGTCCTAATTTTTTTACTATATTTGATTTTCCTATCTCTTGAAGGAATGGCAACATATTTACCATAAACTAGTTTTATCTTTTACGAAAAGAAAAATATAACTCTTCATTATTTGGCTAGTCCTTTTTCATGGAGGAAAAAGTTTTTGACTTCTATAAATTGAGGATCCTTCCTTCTCATTTAGTAGCATCCATAATGTAGCCATAAGGGGTTTGAGAGTCATGTTTAGAGGAAAAATGTTGAGACAAGTATTATCCTGCGACTTGTGTGTATCTCTTTATGAGGTTGCTCTCTCAATATTTGTACCTTTTATATAGTGAATTGCTCGTCTCCGCCTGTGGATGTAGGTCAATTGACTGAACCACGTTAAATATTTATGTTTCTTTTGGTATATTTTTCTTTTGTTGTCTGATTTACTGTTGTTGGAAGTATGCATTATTAGCTTCCGTATGACACATGTATCTTGCGACATCATGGTGCTTGCGACCATCTTATTTTTCTTGAGTTATATAGTGTCTTACTTCGAGTATAAAAAGACATCCTAGAACATTCGAATCGCTTAATTCATACCTTGAGGTTTTTGAGTTGGATGCTTAAATTCCTGAGGCGGAAAAGGTGTATTTGCTCTCTGCCAGAAGTGTGGCTCGCTCGCCTCATTATGGTTAATTTCAACTTCGTAGCGTTTCTACGTTACATGTATAGTAATCTAAGTATCTTCATCTCAGATATAAGTCAATATATTACTAGTCTTGGGATTCATAAGATACATGAAATATCGTCAGTTCGTCACCACATCTAAAATAACTAATATGTCATCCCGTTCTCATGTAATTTTAGAAGAAACGATTGTGGTCACTCTAATTGGATCCATTTAATATTATCAGCCGTTCGGGTTACACTTCAAGCATTGTGATACTACGTTAAGTCACATTATTGATAAAAGTACAAATAAACGGATCTTCCATAATATTACTTAAAAAGAAAGGTAGGTGTCCGTGCTTTCTACTAGGGAATAGATTAACTAACACTATTTGCCGTTTGATTTTGGGATTTCTGTATAAAATATGAATAGAGAGGGATGTATTTTCCGTAATAGCTATGCCTGGCAATTTCACTTCTGGTTAACAACAAAAGAAAAAGAAACGCATACTATAAAGTAATTATTCCAATTGACTTCATTTAATGAACCAATTTGGTACAATAATGATTCTTCACCTTGTTATAACTCCTCGATACAAAGCATTTTTTTTTTCCAAATATCACTTTTAACCCGCGCCAGAAACTAATCGCCAAAAAAATATATAAATTTGTTAAACTTTTTTTATATAACATACAGAATGTATAAATATATAATTTTTTGGCTATTATTCTAAGAGCAACTATACAATATCATTTTCCCCTTCTATTTTTAATTAATGTGAATTTTAACTTTTGTGTAACTCTTCCTAGCAAAGCGCTGTTTATTTGTCAACATTTACCCAACTTTAACATTGCTTATGCCAAATTGACCTACTTAACCTCTTCTTTCACCTTTTTACAGGAATGAGAAAGATTGAATGCCTTCCTTCCTCTTGTCTGTCCTAGATAAAAATGATCAGATAAGATTTCAAACATTTGAGAAATTACATCGTTGTAACATTGGAACATATTTGAGTTAGTTCTCAATGTTCACATCACCTCCTGTCCTGGTAAGAATATAATGATAACAGAAAAGTAACATAATAACTAAAGAATTAAAGGAATAGTGTGATAAGAAGGGTCGCCATGTAGGAGAGCCAGAGGCATGATTCTGCAAAACGAACCATCTTGTTACCATCAAAAGTACATCAAAATTTTCTTTTAACCTTATTTACCCGGCTGTACAGTATCAGCATGTTAAAGCATAAGGATTTCAAACAGAACTCTCACCAATTGTCTTTATTATTAAAAGGATTGTCGGTATATTTCTCACCAATCCCAAGTGATTAACCAAACACCTTTTTAAGAAGAGAGAGCAACAGCAACAAGAACACTTCTTTGCAAACTAGCAAACGCTGCTTTAGTTAGGCTCAGACACAACAGTGCCAAATAGCATCCAGGGCCTAAAAGAGTCTTGACGCACATCAATGCAAACGCGTTCTGCACAGGGCAACATAATGTTACTTGGAATGACATTTATGACGGACACCAAATCCACCCTATGTTTCTTCAGAAGACTGCATGACATTTATTACGTGAGGAAAATCAGCAGAAGTTTTAGTTACACGAATTCAACAGAGGATCTATTTATAACAGAAGACAGACGACTTCTCTTCAAGAGTTTGTGTGCTCAGCCATATTCATTTTGCCGAAGACCAGTTTCTACTGCTTTTCCTTCTCCATTTCTGATCGGCGAAATTCTGCACAGTAGGACCAAACGGTGGACACCCATGCGCTGCCCAAAACACACAAATACCTCCACCAATCAAGTAAAGAAAACTATCAGAAACCACAAGGGTAAAATCCTACCCAGTAAAAGATCTTAGTGCCATTTGACAAACAAGAAATTTTGCCTTCTGCAGCATTTACAGTCTTTCCACCACAGCAGTGTGATTTCTCGTACATCCACTCTCCATTTCCTAGCCTTGGCATTCTACCTGAAAATGGACCACCAACAACTTCAAGGAGCTGTACAACTTATATTTAGTCTTTTCCTAGTCTGGAGTGGGAAATATACACAGATCTATTTCCTTGAAACATGTTCTTCCACCCCCTTCCCTACCAATACGATGAGCTTCTGGACTTGCAATTCAAATCTACCTGCCCAGAAACCCACAAGAAAATTCTTAAACAAAGTTACATGCCTTTGCATTTCTATTTCAGCCCTCTGGCGGGAATTGTAGCCAGGCTCACATGTTCTTTCTCGTCAGAAACAAATCAGGGGGGCAGGGGGTAAAAAAATAAAAGATTGAAAATAAGCTTAGAAACTCAACCAAGGTCTTTAACCATTACAAACCCTTCTCCATCCAAAATAAATATCCTTACAATGTGGAAGAGTCGACAAAGCGAAATTTCAAAGCCAACACGACTATTAACTTTGAACAAAAGAAATATGGAGGTCAAGACTTCTACCAGTTACAAGGATTCAAAGGCCAAAAGCGTTTCCCACATGACTTTTACAAATTAACAGTTTAATGAATGGCAGTTGTGCAGTTTCGATTGCAAACTAGAATTACAGTTATAGTCCCTGCTGATATCTGTTTCAATGAAGCTACATAAACACAAAATAAAACTAATCAACACGGCAGAGATGTAAGACAAATCTAACACTAGTTCTTTCTTTCATTGATCAACAACAACAACAAACACAGTGAAATCCCTCTAGGGAAGGGAAAGCGTACGCAGATCTTACCCCTATCTTGGGGAGGTAGAGAGGTTGTTTCCAAAAGACCCTCGGCTCAAGAACAGTGAAAATGAAGCAATAAACAGACAACCTTCTATCATTGATCAACTTCCAAAAATAACACTAGCAACAAACGAAAGATATTCCCGGTTTTGCCTCTAAAAGTACCAAGGGATGATAACAACAAAACCATTATCATCTTTCCACAAGACAAGAAAATTGAAAGAACAGAAAATCAATACAGCCTGAAACACATAGGCTCAAATTAAAAGCCCCCATCTAGAAAAGAATGCACAAGATATCATATAGAACATTTGTACATCTCTAGCAGATGAGGGCAGCAAAGTACCTTACTGGCTTGGGCAGACAGTACGAGTATCTGAAGTACGGAAAATAAATTTGAAATTCTATGTATGCCAGGTTGTAGATAAGCTCCTCAACCTGCTTTCCTTGATACTGCAGTGACATTTGCAGAATTCAATTCTACAATAAAAATTGGAAAATTCACTAATATAAATACGAAAAGAAACCAAAAAAATGTAGATTTGATTGTTTGGCAAGCAAGCCAAACGGGTTATGGGTATAAATGTTCCCAGAAGTGAGAACGGATTATACCATAATACAAAGTCAAAAAACAAAAATGAAACCAACCACCAACACACTCCTACATAGGTAATCAGTCTCAAGGAGAAACCAATGCATCGAGGAACAAGCTAACTTACAATTTAGATAGTGTCAGCAAAAATAACAAATCAACAGTTTCTCTTCGGGGAAGAAAATTAACGTTTCTTTTTGTACGTTAACTAATCAATAGTACTTAGCAAGATAGAGATCTTAGTTTATCTTGTTTGGCACAACTTATTACATAGGAACAGGATAATACTTGCAGCCAGAGCAGAGTGAACTTTGCCTCTGCGATACGACCTAAAGCCAACATAACTTTGGAATAAACTTCAAAAGACATAACTTAATCCAAAATCTTAAGATAACAATGTCATCCACGAGAGGTGATAGGTAACATCATGTGGGTGAAACTTCACGTCCATGAGCAAATAAACACAATACTTAACAAATCTTATATATTTGGTAATAAAGCTCACTCAGAGATGTTTCGGATGCACCTTAGCCTTACTTTTCACTGGCATTCAGTCATCTCTACATATAATTAGTAACTTTTATTATCAATATTAATTTGGCAGTCAATAAATTCAGAGAGACAACCTTAGTCAGTCCCTAAAACATGAAATGAGAATCATTCCTACAGAAGTAAACAATCACGCTGAGTGTTCATATTATTATCACCATAAAAGCTGGAAATTGAACTTCCAAAGTTAGATCTCTTAAACAATTTCGAAAACTTCATCATGACCATCATCACATTTGAAACTGGACATCACGGCACAGAATCCTATAATCATTCAGTGCTAAGGTTTATCATTTAAAAAAACAAAAATCAGCCATGAGAGATATATTACTCCATCCGTCCCAATTTATGTGGCGGTGTTTGACTCCGCACGGAATTTTAACAAGACCTAAAACTTGTGGTGTAAAACAAACCATAGACATTTTTGTGGCTGTAAATCAATTCATTAAAGGCAAAGGAGGAATTCCAAAGGTAAATTGCTTCTAAATAGGGAAAGGTGACATTCTTTTTAGGACTGACATGAAGAGTGCCACATAATTGGGACGGAGGGAGCATGCATCATAATAATTTGTGGTCCAGCATTGATGTACTCGACCATGTAGAAGGAGAGTGCCAGAAGAAAGCATGTGAAGTAAACAATAGCGAAGAGTCAAGTTGCTAGCATGGGGAAAAGTGAAGCGTTTAATACTGATGGGAAAGCAGATATGTCATCCTTGATTACTATCCATGTATCTAGATACAATCATTACCTTCAAATGTGCAATAGTTTCAGTGAATTCTTCGTCAATGAAAAAGCTAAGAATTCCCCATCTGCTTTACACCATCTCCTCTTGCAAACAGAATATGAAGATTAAAATCGACATACTATAAGTACGAAACAGATCCATATGTTTTGAGTAACAAAATCAATTTCAAGAAACTGTTTACACTGCCAATAGGAAATATTTTACATACACGAGTTTCAATTGAAACTGTTCCTTAATAGGTAAGCTCACTATGCCACCCCTGCCATGCGTGCAGTCTCAAAGAGTTTGATAAGGCACCAGCACCCAGTAAGTCAACCTGCAACAGATCTGATAATGCACAGCCAAAAGAATTGTTTCTCGATCTAATTGTCAGATAAGCCTGCTAAAAAACAGCTGNCCTGCAACAGATCTGATAATGCACAGCCAAAAGAATTGTTTCTCGATCTAAATGTCAGATAAGCCTGCTAAAAACAGCTGAACTGATCGTCTTGCAAACAATTTTAGCAACTTCCTTTCAATCATAGCTCTCACCTCAACCACATCAACCCCATGAGTATTAGAGAAAGCAAAACTCAAACAGTTACTGAGCACTATTCACTTATCTTAGCCAAACAATCCACCAGTTCCTAACACCCCTTGCTTCAGCTCCTTTCTTCGCTGCTCCTCAAGAGGATCTGGACTCTTCATTACTCTTCGCACACGCCTACAAACAAAACATAGAAAATCAAATAACTGTCCAAGGAGCTAAACAAACTCCCATCTAATAATTAGCATTGACAGAAGTTTTACCTATCTTGTGCATGCTGTGCAGGGAAAGTAGGCATGAATTCTTTAGACTTGGGGAGCGGAACTTCACGAAACCACTCATGGTTTAAAGCAGCATCGGCAGTTATTCTCTGCAATATGTCAGACAAACAATAATCAAAAAGGATAAAGACAATGAAGTACAAAATTTTGAAGTTCCCAAATGTAATGGCCATCACCTTCTCAGGATCATAAGTTAGAAGCTTATTCAACAGGTCAAAGCCAGCATCAGATAGGACTGGTAGCCCAGTGAAGGATGTAGCGGGAAATTTTTTTCTTAACGAATTAAACCTGACACAAACAAATCAAATGGTTAGTAGACACATGAAAATATTTTTCCAGCAACAGATTGTCATCAAAGGAGGCCAGAAAGCCAAACCAGAATCACCCAAAGCTGGAAGCCTGGGAAAACAGTGGCAAAAATAAAAACATGAATCTCCAGCCAACAAGAACAGGGATATAATATACAAGAAGATAATACTTACTGGTACTTTACAAAGTTGACCTTCACCCCAGGAAGTTTAGAAAACCCTGGCCATATTGTCTCATTTGGGGTTCCGAGAATTTTGAAAATCTGGTAAGAACATTCCAAGAAATGCATTAAGCTGACTTGAAATCTCATGGTAAATGATATCCACTATCATGTAAAATTCTCCATAAGCTGCTAGAAAAGATACCTTGTCAATTTGATCAACTTCTGTTTTTCCATTGAAAAGCGCTTCTTTGGATAGCATTTCAGCCATGATACAACCCAGTGACCACATGTCGATTGCAGTAGAATATTGTTTGGCTCCCAAGAGAAGTTCTGGCGCCCTGTATGCATAAAAACTATTCAATCACTGGCTGAGAAAAGCCAGATGGGCGAGAACTCAATAGAAACCTTCATCTACATACAGACACACATCGACAGAAACATGAGTATCTACTTAAATATTTTCAAATTAATGAAGAACAGAAAATGAAGCTCACCTGTACCATAAAGTAACCACCAAATGAGTGTATGGTTTCAGGGGGCTCCCATATTGACGAGCTAAACCAAAGTCACAAATCTTCAACTCACCTCGGTTGTTTAGAAGCAAATTTGAAGTCTTCAGATCTCGGTGAAGGACCCAATTATCATGAAGATACTTGATACCCTGCAAAAGCTGGAGCATAAGACATTTGACTTCACTTTGGCTAAACGGTTGTTTCATTGTCTCCATTAATGCCTTCAGATCATGTTCCATGTACTCCATCACCATAAAAATGCTGTCAAGACTGCTTCCTACAACTACTTCTTTAACATCTACAATTGAGGGGTGATGAATAGAAAGAAGAATGTTTATCTCCCTTAGAGATGTCAAGGGAAATCCTTCTCGTTCCTTCTCCATCTTAACCTTCTTTAGTGCAACAATTTCTCCTGTCTTCTTATCTCTAGCTCTGTAAACAACACCATAGGTACCTTCATCTATCCTGTTAAGCCGCTCGAATTCATCGACACTTCTACACCCCTGCAGCATGTTTACGCTCCTTTGTGGAGGAAGTGCAGGCTCTGGTATACCACGAGAATCGTGTTCATCTTCAGATTCTGTATCTGACTGGCTAACACTAGTACCATCATAATTACGGTCCTTATCCACATCCATTGAGTCATTCTTATCTAAATCATTGTCCTGGTAACTATCTCTGCTGGAAGACCTAATATGTTCATCTGAATCTGAGGACCTTGCTCTATTTCCTCCAGAGTTGTCTCTCTTGAGCTCCCCAAATTCTGGAGTTACTGATTTCCTGTGTCCACCCATGTCAGCTGACTGTGAAACTGCTCGTTGCTTCTTCAATCGAGGCATATCATCATCTGAAATCAAACCTTCATCAGCTGGAGAGTCAGCGTCAGTTGCCCATCGAGAAGCTCTTATAGTCGGCACATATTCATCTTCTTCTACTATCCTGGCATCCTGCTGCTCGGGCAATCGCTCTTCGTCAGGAGGTGGTGAACCTACGTCAACTGGGGATTCAGATGCATCAACATGTGAACCAAGTGCTGTATTTGGATTATGTTGGGACGGCCCCGTGCTCTGAATAATATCATTATTATTATTCAATGGCGAGACCTGCTCAACCCTTTCTAAGGGAAGGTTAGGCGACTGGACAGATGACTTCGGCAATGGAGGCGGAGGAGGTAGCTTAGCAGCTGCTGGTGAGTTTCTACTCTTCGACATTCTATTAGCTTCCTTTTCATCCCTATCCCAGATAATTGGAGAGAATTTTCGTTTCTTGCTCTGTACAGGTGACTGGTTCCCATTGGCCGCATTCTTGGTCTTCCAGTCCGAATCAATAGCCCCATCAGACCCACTCTCACTAGACAGTTCCCCGGGCTCTCGGTCAACAGCCCTGACACTAAACCCACTTCTCCCCGCTCCACCATCACTACTACCAGAATCACTCCTGCTTGACGTGAACCTATAACTGCCATTTATGACCTCCCTTTCTTTTACATCCTTCTGTCTCAACCTACCCCTATCTCGACTACTCCTGTCGTGAACTCGATCCCTATCAAAATCCCGATCAACGTTCCTAATTCGATCATAATCCCCCTTAGGACAACCAAGCTCCCTCCTTGAAACCTCGAACTCAGCCTCACGGCCCCTAAATTCATTATCCCTGTAGCCACCATGTCTTCCAGCAGCCATAAGAACGTCTATATATCAAAGAAAACCCTAATCCACCTATAAACCCTAACCCTAATTTCACAAACAAAGTCAACAAATCCTAGCTCGAAAAAAACGACTTAATTGAAAAAACAATAACAGATTACAGATCTGGTAAAAACTAATCAAATATCTAAAAATCAAATTGAAATATTTTCCTTTTTTCCTAATTTATTTTCTAAAAAAAACTCTGTAGAAACGACAGATAGAGACGGCGAAAAACCAGAAACCCTAGAAATTGACGACTAGAGTGTAAATTTACGGTCTTCTCCGGTATGTTATTGCTGAGATCGGAAAACTTACCGGTGAATCGAAGCAACCAGAGGCGGCGGCGACGAAGCTCTTACAGAGAGAAAAAGAGAGAATATGTGAGTTGTATTGCAAATTCGGAATATGAAAGCGAAGGGAAAGTCCCCAGACCTCGTAAAGAGGAGTTTTAGATTAGATTCGAGTATGTTAATTGCAATTAGACCCCCTATGTTTATCAAATTGTTCATTTTTTACCAATACATTATCTTGCATGTCTCTTCAGCTCCCGGAAGTCGTTCTCACGAGTTTAAATTTCATTGGGTAAAAGTAAATTACGAGGCTAATAGATTCTATGTTTTACCAAATATAAGTGGATCAGACAAAAAGGGAAACTTTCCCTGGATTTGTATTTATAGAAAAGAAAGGTACTGTTTTGAATAGTTCATTTATTTATTTAAAAGAAGAGCCTCATCAACATTGTCTTGAAAGAATTCTATTACGAATAGGTAAGTAAAATTCTTCCTCGAAAGAGACATTCCGATAACTGGAATAGAAAACTATTCATATTGGAATGGAATAATTTATTCCTAAGGGATCATTGGTAGGGTGTATAAGAACCTGGGGGGTTGCTCCGAGAAATCCTTTCTTTCTCGTCCACTCAGGGGGGTGCGGACACACCTGCGCGGATTACAGGTGACAGTTACAAGAATGGCGGGGAAGTTAACAGTACCCGACGACATTCAGGGATGGATGTAGTATTGAATATGATGTATTAGTAATGTTGGGATTAGTTATGTGATGTATTTAAAATAACATTCATTGCATAATTCTTTTTTAAAAAAATATTGGTTTACAGACATACCCTTCACATTCTTTAGTTTTGTATACTTTCTTTGCAAAGCTTTGGTTATTAATTCTTAAAAACGAAAAATTAAAAATTAAAAATATTATTACGAGAAAGTACACCTTGTGTGTATTTATGTTAGATTTTAACCCATTTTACTTTCTTACCCGAAATAGTCATTATCGTATATAATATGCAAAATTTCTTCACCAATCAGACTAAAATAAAATACACATCTTTGATCTTACTGACATTTCTCAACTCTCAACATGCCCAATTATCTTCCCTTCTCTAACGCCTCTCTTTTCCCTATCTCTAACCCACCCAGATTTAGATCTTAAAAAATCCATAAATCTAATTAAATTTTTCTTTACTTTTTTAACAAGCAACCATAGTAGCTTCATTTATCTAAGGTCCATCCAAACAATAGAGATCCACATTTAGATGATACAAATAAAAATATTCATATCCTTTTCACAAACCAAGAAAAGAATAAATAAGTATAGAAGTTCAAAAAACCTACATATTCTGGAATAAGGTCCTCAGGAGCCCATCAATAGTGGAAAAAAGGGACAATATATAAGAAGAAGAAAAAAATCATAGTTGCACTCACAAATACTGTCCAAGATGGTTGATTACCCTCTTACTTAAAGGTCTCAGCATTATGTGAGAGGGGTTGACTAGTAATAGCAACAAACTCAACTTTATGCTATTGTTTGTGGTTAGTGTGAGGTGTAGACGAGTGTTATAAGTGACGTGTGCAATGATAAGGTAAACTTTCAGATCTGAGATCTAAGTTGGAAAGCACTTGTGGATTTTTGGCATTTTTTCATCTTTTTTTTAATGTAGTAATTTTGGTGTTAAAATAGAGGTGTAGTGGTAGACATAAGGTATATTCTAATCTACATAAAAAGTAACTGGTATTTATACATACTTACATAATATTATATAATTGTGTATAAGTGCGTATATTTGTATATAATGCGGTATAATTATACATATATTTAGAGTATAGGTGTATATATGCTGCTAGTGTATTATAAGCCTCCGTAATAATTTGACACTTTCTTCTCTTTTTCTTCTTTTTCTTATTTTTTTGGTATACATTATTATGCATTCTATATATAAATTTATACAAAGTTATACATCATTATATATATACTACATATGTACAGTTAAAATTGAAATTGAGATTTTTGTGTTTTTCTTTATTTGTTTATCGAACAATCTATTTATAAAGTCGATTTTCTTGTTGATTTCTTTGTCAAATCATGAACTTGCAGCAAATTTTTTGAACTTTACTTTTTTATTTTTACTATTTAAAATTTGAGGAATAAGAGATTTTTGGATTTTCGAGTTGAATTATGAATGGTACGTATTTTTAATCAAACGCTAGACATACTTGTATAAACGCTTGAACGAGGAGAGGGACATGGATATTGTTCTTGGTGATTTGGAGCACTCCGAGAGTTGTCGCGATTTTGAGTATTGTAGGCATATAAGAGTTGATGAGGTCAAAGGGGTTATGCGGAGGATGAGCAGGGGACGAGCGACCGAGTCATGTGAGATTCCAGTGAAATTTTGGAAGAACGCGGGCAATGCAGGCTTGGAATGGCTCGTTGGTTTATTCAATGTCATTTGTATGAAGAAGAAGATGCCTGAAGAAGATGATCCCTTTGTACAAGGGTGATTCCCAAAACCGTAACAATCATATGAATATCAAGCGGCTAAGTCATACTATGAAAGTCAAGAAGAGGGTGGTGGAGTTGAGGGTGAAGATGAGTGTGTCTATTTTCGAGAACCAATTCAAATTAATCTCAGGGCATTCAATTACAAAAGTTATTCACCTTATTAGGAGATTAGTTGAGTAGTACGAGGAGAGGAAGAGGGACTTACATATGGTGTTCATCAACATAGAAAAGGCTTACGACAAAGTCACAAGAGGGGTCATATGGAGATATATAGAGGTCAAAGGTGTATCTTTTGCATGCATTACATCGATTATGGACATGTATGATGGAGATAAGACCCAGGTGAGGCCATTGGGAGGAGATTCGACATATTTTCCAGTTTTGATGGGCCTACACCAAGCATCAGCACTTAGCCTATTTGTATTTTCTCTGGCGATGGACACTCTAACTCGTTATATTCAAGGGAAGTGTCACGACCCAAACCGATGGGCCGCGACAGGTGCCCGAGTCCTACCTGTCAAACACCCCTAAGCATGCGTCTAAGATATGAGCCTGAATAACATCTGCTGAGTTACAAAAATAACATACAAGAAGGAAACTTACCTTCAAGGCATATATACGTATACAGGCAGAATATAGTGGGCGAGCCAGCAAGGCTGCTATAGACAACTATATATCCAAAACTGAAAGCTGTCAAGGCCACATACAACCCAACTAGACATATTGTCTACAGACCTCTAATAGAAACATAACTGTACAAAGATGGGACTGAGCCACGTCATACCCATATACATATATATATATATATAAACGTATCGTATAAAAAGTAGCTCCAGATCAAGTGGAGCACGCCAACTCTCATTGATCATGGATTCTAAGAAGGGGGACCATCAACTTGCCTACCTGCACTTGCGGGTATGAAACGCAGGCCCCATGAAATAGGGCATCAGTACGAAAAATGTACTGAGTATGTAAGGCATGAAAATTAGTACGTAAAAGACATAGATGAAACATGGAATACAGAAACACATCCTTAAATCTGAATAACTTTGTAAATTCTGAAACGTTTATAATGCCATGCACGTGTGTATAAATATCGTGCCATGCATAGGTATGGGTGTACATTATATCATCAAGCCACTGAGGGCATCCCATCATATCGTCTCGGCCACTGTGGGCAACATCATCAACATATACCAGCTGATCAGGTAGTGGTGCATATATAATGTCGTAACCTTTTCCCATATTCCATATACATATATACGCGTATATAATGTCATCTGGTCATGGGTCAATGCACATGTATACATGAGTGAAATACATGAAAATTACGTAATAATCTCAATATTCCTTCCGGATAAACTTTTTCAACTACGTATTATTCTGAGACCCATGAGCAGAAGATAATAATAATTCTCATGGGGAATCAAGAATATAAACACCCCTAGTATCTCTGTGAATAGAATAATTTATGAAAATTGTGTGTTTACTCGTTTCTTCAATATAATTCGGATAACCTTAACATACCTGTTCCTGGAATTATTCGAATGAAATGAAGCTTCTGCTTCAGTGAAATATGTTGAATGAGAATTGGCTTGAATCCTTTGAAATTTTTGAAACAAAATTGTTCATGCTTTTCACGTCTTGGTGTAGCATGACAGTTAGCTTTTTACTTTGTAAAATGTTTCTTGCTTTTGAACTTACATGTTCTTGGTTTCAAGCCAAAGACACAAAATTGAAATGAAGCCAAAGACTTGAAATTGAAATGAAGCCAAAGACATGAAATTGAAATGAAGCTAAAGACAGATTGTCTTTATGGATAAGACTTTACAAGTCTTATTTAAGACTTATCTTTATTACTTAAAATTCTATTTATTTTTAAAATACTTCATATATACTTTATATATATACTACCGTGGTCTTATGGTACCTTGCATGGTACTAGTTCATAATCATCGGGTATTATTGCTCAACCCGTATTTTATTCCAAATTGACCACTTTTAGCGAAACTCATTTTCTTTAATTCGTGTACCCTTTGTCCTTCAGGACACTTATTTATCGCTTGTTAAAAATAACGTAAATATGTTAACGTCAAGATGATCTCATCCCCGAGTCTATGTCGGTTAACCAAAAACGAAATTTTTAGCGTACAAAAACGCGAGATGTATCATCCTTCCCCCTTAGAAACATGCGTCCTCGAATGTTCAACTCCCCGTGATCTATATAACTTTGGAAAGGTCGCCTCTGCAACAACACCACTACCTACTCTCCCCGTAGAAGCTTAATAATCCAACGACACACAGGACCATAATTATGAATTACGACAATGGCCTATGACCGACGACAATAACCAACACAAGAATTTGTTCATGTACCTTATGGTTATGATGCGTCCGTCGGAACCTCCTCTGGAGGAGGAAATAAGTAGGGATATCTAGACTTCATGTCTTCCTCGGCCTCCCAAGTCATTTCTTCCACATTGTTGTTCCTCCAAAATATTTTCACAGAGGTTACCTCCTTATTCTGTAGCTTGCGGATTTGTCGGTCTAGAATGGCAACAGGAATTTCCTCGTATGACAAGTCCTCTGTAATCTGAACATCATTCGTGGGCTCCACTC